GAAAATACACTTATGTAGTTCCCCAACAACAGTTTACCTTAAATCTGTTTGATTGATAGTGTTATTACATAATAGGAAGTTCATCACTTGTTTCTCATATTGTCGACAGGCTTTCAAAAGATGAAGAGTTACAGAGATGGAAGTACATGATGATCTTTCTTCTAACCAATACTCTAGCATGTTTAGGGACTGCTATAGCTTTAAATGTTGATGATCATAAACGGGTATGTAGCCAGATAGGATATACTAAATTTACATGTGACTACTTTTATGCATAGTATTGCTTTAAGTTATATTTTAAGTGTTATAATTTAATTGTTTTCTAGAGGGAGCTGCTAATATGATTGTGCTAGATCTAGAACTTTCATGGAATTTGGAGATTCTAGAGTAAATTATAAATACGAGTAGTCAGTGCATGTGTGAAGATTCACTGAAAATTCATTCCAGTGTTTGTAGTGAGTGTTATAGCATCTATTAAGTTAAATGATGGATTAGCAAAGAAGCTCTTTAAGTAAGTTTATTTCTAACTTTAAGTTAGGTGTACCATTATTTTTGGAATTTCTATTAAAATGTTGTTTGGTACCTTAGGCCTACAACTTGTGTCAAAGTGAACTTAGCCTGTAGCAAACATTATATAAAGAATAAATCAATTTGTTGGTATTATTTTTAACAAATCATTCAAAACAATCACCTCAATTATAGAACACTTTACAACAGTATTTTTATCAAAAACATTTTATGTTAATACAGTTGATCTTTAAATGGCTTCAGTGCAACTGTTTAGCATCTTGCTCTCTCTTTTGAACAGTGTTTGAATTCTTTCACCTTTAATCTTTGTTTCTTGTGGTTCCCCATTTCTCTGAGCTTTATTATAATTTTTTTACTGTTAATCATTTACTTGGAACACACACATCTACACAACACGTATTACATTTTTCATGGTCTTGAATGGCTTTCTTCTTCTTTGCACATGTACATTGTTTTTCTTTTTCACTTTCTCAGTTTTAGAATGTGTTTCAGATACCTTTCCACATTCTTTCAGGTTTTGCTGTAGATTATAGAATTGGTAAAATATTTAGCTGTTATTTATCTTTTCACCACATCATGTAGTAATACTATGAGAATTAAACACCAAAAATCATGGTAAGCTGTAGATGTAATTTTTTTTTCCTTTACATTCCTCTTGCAGGGGTATGGAATTTTTGAAAAAAAACTTCTCGCCTAAAAAACAAGAAGTTATGGTTCCCCTTAAATGTCCAACTGCCCCTTTCCATTCCATAAAACAGTGAACACAATAAGTACAATTCTGTTGGCAGATTAATTTTGTCAAGAATAACATATACCACATTTTGTGCTCTAAGTTAATTTATTTTATGGTTTTCAACATTTAGACGATTGGATTTTACAGTGCAGCATGTAGAATACCCTGTTCACAAACTGATAAAGAAGTCATAGTTTACATTAATGCTGTTATGAACTAAATTTATGTTTAATATATACATATATTTATTTATAAAACAGTTAAGAGTTTTTTGTAATTTTTATTATGCTACATATTTTACCTAGAGTTGGTAGTCAAACTTTACTGGGCTACTGCTGTAATTAAAAACAACATAATAATAACATTGGATTAATTTAGAATATGTTTGTTGCTGCGTGACTGAGGGTTTGTGAATTAAAGTGATATATATGTACTTGTGTATATAGTTTTGACTAGAGGTTTAGAAGGATAGGTTTTTAAATGTTCAGTTTTCAGAAAATTGTGTGGCTCCCTATAAATGGAATGAGCAATGTGTCAGGGGTAAAAAAATAAAATATATATATATTGTTATGACAGTGGGGGTCACGTGATGCTAGTAACACGTCATATTCTCGAGCATTCACGTCCCTTCCTGAAGTCTCGAGAGGTTGCTAGATATGTGGTAGTCTTGTATATATAAGCCGCCAAGAAGCGATGTCGACAATGTAATGTAGTGTGTAATTGACAGTTGAGTCGAGCACGTGAGACGTTCGTTGTGCATTATAGCGTTTGTTATA